TCTCTCTCTCTCTCTCTCTCTCTCTCTCTCATTATTTTTATTTAAAAATACTAACAATTTATTTATCTCGTGTTGACAGAGAACTTATCTAATACTCTAAATCGCCCTAAAATAACGAGAACTTCATTTGGAAGCGAATGTCCAGTGATTGGGTCTCCGGTGCCCACAAGAGCCAAATCTGCGAGCGGTTCGCCCACTAATGTTAGGCAATACCGGAGACCCAGAGCTCGTTCTGCCGACGAATCGTCCAAAAAGCTTAAGTCCAGGTCTGGCGGTCGCGACCTGTCTATCGAAGACTGGGAAATACCACTCAAAGAGATACTGACGGGCGGGCGAATAGGGTCAGGGTCGTTTGGCACCGTTTACAAAGGTCACTGGCACGGACCCGTCGCGCTCAAGAAACTTAATGTCAAAAATCCCACACCCGCTCAGCTTCAGGTCAGTTACCCGTTATCTGTGGTTATTATTGAATTGATTTTAACCGTATTTTCTTGATTACATTTTGCAGGCGTTTAAGAATGAAGTGGCGGTTCTTCGGAAGACACGACACGTGAATGTTTTGCTATTCATGGGATGTGTATCAGAGCCTCAGTTAACAATTGTCACGCAATGGTGCGAAGGGTCGTCACTGTATAAACACCTACACGTGTCGGAGACTCGGTTTGAATTATTACAACTCATAGACATCGCCCGACAGACCGCACAGGGAATGGATTACTTACACGCAAAGAATATCATTCATCGAGACTTAAAATCCAATAGTAATTGATTTAATAATGATTTATTTAATTAATTTTATTAACAAATTTGTATTTCACTTTTGTAGACATTTTCCTTCACGACGACCTGACCGTAAAGATCGGAGATTTCGGTTTAGCGACGATTAAGAGCCGATGGCAGGGCTCACAGCAGTACAACCAACCGACCGGTTCTATCCTATGGATGGCACCCGAAGTGATACGAATGAGAGGATCCAATCCATACACGTTTCAAAGCGATGTCTACGCGTTCGGTGTTGTGATGTATGAGTTGGTGTCGGGACAACTCCCGTACAGACATATCAGTAATAGGGATCAGATCCTGTTTATGGTGGGCCACGGGTTCATACAACCGGACCTCAGTATTTGCCCAAACGAAACACCGAAAGCGTTCATACGTTTGATTCAAGACTGCCTTTTGTTTGATAGAGACGGAAGACCCCTATTTCGAAAGGTATTCACATTTAGCTTATATTTTGGTCTTAAAATTGCAACTAAATTGACTGTATTTTTGTTTTATTGATCAGATATTAACAAATTTGGATCATTTGTTGCGATCTCTGCCCAAAATACACCGATCGATATCAGAGCCGACCCTAAATCGGACTCATTTACAAAGTGATGATTTCCTGGAAACGGTGTGTCCGTCGCCCCGAACGCCCATAAACTCAAATTTCGGTGCATTTCCTTTCTATACCGTCGGAAACATTTAAGTCAATCATTTCTTTCGGTTTTCAGTCCAAAGCCTAAAGACATATCAATAAATTGTTGATCTAATCATTCATCAAATGTTATGTGATTTTGTTTGAAAGCAAACTTTCATATAACGAATTGTGATTTAACTTAATTTATTATTTTTTGACAAATATTTTTGATAAAAATTAAGCAAAAACTTAATAATAACTAATTTAATGATAAAGAATTTTGTAATTTTGATATCAATTGTTTTTTTTAATTAACAAAAGATTTTGTTCAAAACTTTTTTAAATAAAGTGTTAAAAGTATTTTTAAACTATTTTTTTAAACTCTGAATACCATTCATCAATTTTTCCATCTATTTATTACATGTAATAATATAAATAATTGTAATTAAATTGTAACATTTAAAATAAATATGGCCGAAAATGACCATAAAAGAGATACTACTTATTAATCAATTTATTATAAATAACGATATTTTATTTGAATAATCAATTTGTGGTCAAATAGTTTTAAAATCGATAATACAATACATATAAGAATAAATAGAATTAGTATTTGAAAACTTATGACAAAAATGTGATAACAAGTGATGAGATGTATAATAGGTAGTCCAAAGCCTAAAGACATATCAATAAATTGTTGATCTAATCATTCATCAAATGTTATGTGATTTTGTTTGAAAGCAAACTTTCATATAACGAATTGTGATTTAACTTAATTTATTATTTTTTGACGAACATTTTTGATAAATATTAAGCAAAAACTTAATAATAACTAATTTAATGATAAAGTATTTTGTAATTTTTATATCAATTGTTTTTTAAATAGCAAAAGATTTTGTTCAAAACTTTTTTAAATAAAGTGTTTAAAAGTATTTTTAAACTATTTTTTTAACTCCGAATACCATTCATCAATTTTTCCATCTATTTATTACATGTAATAATATAAATAATTGTAATTAAAAATAAACATTTAAAATAAATATGGCCGAAAATGGCCATAAAAGAGATACTACTTATTAATCAATTTATTATAAATAACGATATTTTATTGTTTGAATAATCAATTTGTGGTCAAATAGTTTTAAAATCGATAATACAATACATATAAGAATAAATAGAATTAGTATTTGAAAACTTATGACAAAAATGTGATAACAAGTGATGAGATGTATAATAGGATTAATTAAATTTATATATAAAAAGTGGTTTTGCAATGAATAGTGCTTTTTGTCCATAAATTCAATCATTATTTGGTGGTATAATGAGAGGAATATATGCTTTAATACAATAATGTAAACACAATTCTATTGAAATTTCGTCACTTAATACATAATTTTGTAAACATTGGATAGAATTTTAAAAATTAATTCTACTTTTAATTCGTTATAAAATTAATATTAATTTAAAATTGAGATAAAACCTACAATTAAATATTTGAATAACATTTATATATATAAAGCTATAAATAAGTAATTCAAGTGAAGGAAACAGAATTAATATAACAGTTAAAAATATAAATATATATTAAAAACTTTAATCCAAAAGTCATATTATTGCTTAGGAATTGAGAAAATAAAATATATTGGTTAACGAGAGGCTGTCAGACATCGGGTGTGAGTCCTAAGTGAGTGAGTTTTGCCGATAGAAATGTGTGTAAAGTAAAAATAAAAGGCTTCGGGTTTTGTAGTAAATCTAATTCCTATAGTTTAATAAATAATGAAACATAAATGCAATTATCGACACGTTTTAAAGCATATCATACCTTATCGTCGTCTCCATTGAATTCAAGCCAAACAATTCGTTTGCCGTCATCTCCGGTGCCTTTCAACTGCTCAAAAGACATTCTCCATAAGATTTTTCTCGTCTGAATCTCTTCTAACGTGAATCCATTCTCGATGTGAATTGTAATGATTGACTCCATGTTCTTATAAATGCACGCTTTTATGCAAATAACAAAATATATGTTTATTTTAACAACAAATCCAATGAATGCCAGTAAATATATACCGAAACAGATCTCTTTGAGCGCAACGGCCGCCGAGTGTGATGCTTGTACTATATGTTTGGCCCAATTGGCCAAATCTCGGTGGCTTTCGGCACGCATTATACGACAATCGATGCCATGTCTTGTGCCAAACCTTAGCGTAAATGTGATGACATCCGTAACACCCGGTATAATGAGAGTACCGCCAGAATTGGTCGACTTTGAAGACATGGTTAGACCTAAATTGGTTGAACTGTTGTGCACTAAACGGATGTGTAATAATGGGAACGTATGGACGGGAACGGCCCACG